TGTGTGTGTGTGTGTGTGTGTGTGTGTGTGTGTGTGTGTGTGTGTGTGTGTGTGTGTAAAAGGTACAACATAGCAGTGTGGCAGCACTGCTCTGGTGGTCCAATATGTGTGTGCGTGTGTGTGTGTTTGTTAGAGTGGGCTGCAAGAGGTGGTCTATTTCTGAGGGTTTTTTTTTTTCTTCTACTGCAAGGCTTCTACATGCACATATTGCATCTAACACTCAAACATACAGTACCTTACCTTCCAGTTGCAGTTGAAGTCGGACCAGTGGCTCAATTAGCTACTGGCGTCACATCACAGAGACTGCACACTTCGTCTGAGTTGACATGCCAACTAAATGGTTGCCTAGTGACTTTGAAGTCTTCCCGCACTTTGGGCGCCCTCGAGAAGAAAACGAATTGTTCTATTTGTTCTCAAGTTACAGTAAAGCTTGACAGTTTTTCTTCGGATTGAAAATCAGGCCTCTCATTGTTTCATCTTTCTACACAAAGGCCTGAGTTTCTTCATTCCCCCATTCCTCGGTCCTCCCAGTCAGCAGTGTGATTAAGAATGTGGTTTCCTTTTTCTTTTTCCTTTTTTCCTTTTTTTTTTGGTAAGCAAGCACTTTGGGCGGAATGAATTGTTGACCAGAAAAGCAATGAAAGGGTCATTAACTCGTCATAAGCAGGTAGGGTCCCTCATGAGGAAGGAGTGACATTCTTTTTTTATTTTTCTGCCTGCAGTGTCATTCCTTGTATCACTTCATTGTCACCTTCACTTTATTCGGGCGAAAACAAGTCAGTCAGTAAATTACCTTGATGTATACCTTTGACATGAGACATCATTTGAAATTGCATCATCGTGAAACAATTTTTGCTGGTATCAAACAAAAAAGTCTGCTAACTTTGCAGAAACGTCATCAAACAAACAAACAAAAACCCAGATCATTCGTTATTCTCAATAAACTCGCACGACAAGACTGACTCCTTCACTCATCCTGCCTGGATGAAAGGATTTTGGTGCCCTGTTCACCTCTTGCCGCCTCGCCTTTGTGAGAAAGCGCAGAGCGTTTCGTGCCGATGACTGTTCACTTAGCTATGCGAACTTAGAATAGGCCAGGGGTGTCAAATTCATTTTTGTCGCGGGCCGCATTGTGGTCACGGTTTCCCTCGGAGGGCCATTATGACTGTGAAACCGTATAACTGTGTTTTACATATACAATGAATGGATAACTAGTTCTGAAATCAAAAGTCACGCAAGTAGTTTGTTCAACTATTGTTGAAGTTACCGTAATAACATCACAAGAAAACGCTTGCAATACCTCAACATTATTATTTATGACATGAGACAATTTGAAACGGTACGGATTTTAGCCAGCATCATGGAAGTTGACCTGCTTGATTTGCTTTTTGCGGGCCACATAAAATGATGTGGCGGGCCAGATCTGAGCCCCCGGGCCTTGACTTTAACACCTGTGAAGTAGACCCTTTCGCGTCTCACGCTTGTTTTTGCAGACTAGCGAGGTCATCTCAGGAGTATGTCTGTGAATAAAATAAGTGCTTCCTAGTTGGCTATTTTTTTAACCAATTATTTATTGTACAAATAAAGGCATCAGCATCGTAACTTGATGCATAGGCATCACATCCCGCAGGACAAACAGGCTATTGACAATGCTAGTCGACAATGCTAATTGCCATGGAGATATGTAGTGACCTTGACACTATAAATCCAGCAAAATACTCCAGACTGGACGACTTTTGAACTTTATGGCAGCCCCGCTTCAGGCACGTCGGACCAAATACGATGGTCTTGAGCGGGACGGGATGGGCAAATGTGACAGGCCGTGATTGCCGTGGATGCCTTGCGTGATCTTCGTCATGTCTAAACATTTTTGCCACTGCTATCACTGAGCGGATGAGAAATTTAGTCTGCTGTAGAAAAATGATTTGCACGCAACTAGACCTGATGTCATACAACATGGATATGCAACATAGTAGGATGGGAAATCTTTTTTTTTCCCCTCCGGTATCTGACACTTGCCACGTACAACTTTTCTAATGATAAGCCATGTGTTTGAATTCACTTACAATGCCCGCCATGGCATACTTTTTTTTTTTTAATCACGCTTTAATGTCAGAGATGGTTTCGTGAAAATATCAATCCATCCATTTTCCAATCCGCTTATCCTCACAAGGGTCGCGGGGCTGCTGGAGCCTATCCCAGCTGTCTTCGGGCAGTCGGCGGGGGACACCCTGAACCGGTTGCCAGCCAATCGCAGGGCACACAGAGACTAACAACCATCCACGCTCACACTCACACCTAGGGACAGTTTCTCGTGTTCAATCAGCCTGCCATGCATGTTTTTGGAATGTGGGCGGAAACCGGAGTACCCGGAGAAAACCCACGCAGGTCCAAGGAGAACATGCAAACTCCACACAGGGAAGCCGGAGCTGGAATTGAACCTGGTACCTCTGCACTGCGAGGTCGACGCGCTAACCACTGGTTCACCGGGCCGCCTTAGTGAAAACAGAAAACAAATATTCAAACATTCATTGAGTGACAGCATGCGCCCCAAGTACAGACTCCGACTCCGGAACCTGGCAATGGAATTTTCACAGCGCACCGCATTTTCGGGAAAACAGGTTTGCAGTGCCCGCCCGGAACAGAGTGTCAACACTGGAGAATGTGCAGCTTTCCGTTTGCATTCTAGAATGCGAGCGTACAAATTGGTCGGTTGCTTGCCTTGTCCAACTTGGCGGCCTACTGTCACCGATTGCATTGTTAACCATGAATGAAATACATGCGTGTCACGCTTTTAAAAGGCCCTTCTGTTGTTTCTGCAAGTACTTCTCCTCTCCTGCAAAATTATGTGCACTAATGCCCGGGCAAATATCAGTGAAGCGGTGATTGTCCTATCTGGGCCACCCTCTTCTCTTTTCACTTTGTCATGCCCTGAAACAGTTTTTTTCCCCCCACGTGCATTTCTTGAGAAGGGGAAGCCTGATGAGAAGTTTCCTGTTGCCCGATAAAGATGGTTTTGCCGTAAGCGGAATGTGTCTCAAGAAGAAAAGTGTGTTGCAGAATGTGCTCAAGGAAGTAATGTGTGTATTATTGTGTTGAGAAACCAAACTTGCAGTTAGAGGAAGTCTGCTTGCAGGGAGGGAGGAACGGCGCAACTGGACACGCACACGCAGCTCCCACATGCCATGGAAGACGGGTCCGGGCTTGTTCCCATCATCTCTGTAAATGATTTGCAGGAAGCGGAATCACAAGTTCAACCTGTTGCAGCTTACCCCCCCCACACACACACACACACACACACACACACACACACGTATATCCACCATTCAGTTGCACGTTTCAGTGCTGGAGTCTTGACCTTGCAATCGGGTTCGATGTGGGAAGAAAAATTCCCTGGATGGTTTCAGCAATTGTGTCAGTGTTGCAACTGTCATCTTGTTGGGCAAACGGCGCGGCCTCGTTGGGCCACAGTGAACGTACCAAATGGTCCAAATAGTCAAAATGTGTGGGTAATTGGCACCCTCACAAAAAGCTAACAATTCCTGGCTAAAAGAACACAATTTGTCTGCGGGAAGCTCCTCAGCTCACTTAACCGAGTTCCTTGATACTAAGGTGCCACAAGATAGGTTCTTGAGTGCTAAACCAATGAAAAAAAAGTTTTTTGGTAATCTACACGGAGGTGATTGGCTAGATCAGACCAGGAGATATTTTGGATTGTATTTGCTGACCGATCAATTGTTCTGTTGTGCAAAATAAGACATTATAGCAAACACAATCTTGTTCCTTCATCATTAATGATCCAAGGTTTCTTAGCATATACAATCAGATTTCTTTTTTTCCAATATTTAGAAAAATAAATGCAATTTTGTGTGTGTGTGTGTGTGTGTGTGTGGGTCGGGGGTTGTCGGGTGTATTTTTTAATTTGTAAACTCAAACAAAATACTTTGCACCCCAGTTGCTACACCACATTAACAAATACAATTCATTCAGAAGTCAAATAATTTACTGTATATCAGATATAATTGTCGTGCATGTGTCTGCAATGAAGTTGTCTGTGAGCTTCATGTGGCACCGAGCCAGAGAAAAGAAATGTCACTTCTGGGAACAATGAAGCAAGAGGAAGTGTGGAAGATGAAATGACGTTCATAAACCCGACAGTGTTGTTTCTTTCCACGGTCCCTTTGCTGATTTACAGCCTTGAGCTGCTGTTCATGACAACTAGCATGCTGGACGTTGTTCTTTGTGTGTGTGTGTGTGGGGGGGGGGGTTATATTCTGCTCCTTCATTCAGTTATTCCATTAGAAAGCAAAAAGTGTTGCTGCGAGTAGTCGAGTGGTACCGGAAACTTAAATCAATGTTGGGCACAAATGTGTTTAAATTGACGTACGTTTTTAAATGGCTGTTACGAATAAGAGATCCTGAACTTCGAGAAAGAATCGCAATCCTAGCAGTGTCTCTTTTTGTCTCCAATAAATTTTTTTTTGTCGATTACTCAGTATGGTTAAATAAATAAATAATGTGCACTGCTTGCTACAATAGTGGCTGCGGTTGCGTTATGCATCCACTAGATGGAGAAACGTTAAGGGGAATACGATACAATACAATACAGCTTTATTCGCATAGAGCTTTCACAACCGCTGCAGCTGTCACGAAGCGCTTTACAGAACAATTAAAATACTACGTCCAAGAAATGCGAATAGTGATCCATATATAAGGCGCATCGGATTATAAGGCGCACTGTCAGCTTTTGAGAAAATTGAATGCTTTTCGGTGCGCCTTATAATGCGGAAAATACGGTACTATAAGTGAAGCTTTGATCATCTATCTATGTTAGTGATGTTTCCTGACAGTGTTGGAGTACTTTTTAGGAAATGTTATGTTTGCCAGTGTGCTGTGATATTTTTCCGATGGAAAATATGTGGCTCACCTCCACAAGTGTTTGGAAACATTGGCGCTATGTCCCATACTCAAAGTGTGTGCCTGCTTTTGTCTCTTCCTAGCGCGGATTGCCCAGGATGTCTTCGAAGGCTCACAGTTCTAACAACATCGCCCATGCCAGGCGGACTGTGCAGCAGCTGAGGATAGAGGCCAACATCGAGAGGATAAAGGTACATTCACTTCCAAAAAATTTTCCTGGGGTATATCGACACTTTCGGAATGTTTGTAAACTTACAATTTACGTTATTTTCCGGGTTATAAATCGCACGGTTTTTTTTTCGTAGTTTGGCCGGGACTCAAACTCTGGAGTGACTTATGTGCGAAATTATTAGCACATTATTATATCATTTCACATGTTATTTTTCACATTAAAGCGCAAGAGGGCGCTCTAGGTCCGTGTTGATAAGTCGACGATGAGTCTTGACGTAAGCGATGTAGAAGAGGAAGTGCGGCATCTTATAGCCCCGGTGTTGACGGAATTGTTTAAACCTGACACAGAGAATGAAAATTTCGTCGGATTTAGTGATTTGGAGTGACAGCGATGATTTGGTAAACTTGTTAGCATGTTCTTTGTGCTATAGTTATCTGAACAACTCTTAATATGTTACGTGAACATACCAGGCACGTTCTCAGTTCGTTGTTTACGCGTCGTGTAATGTTAGCATATCGTACAATTGTTTCTCTCTATTTTATTTTTATTTTGAATTGCCTTTCAAGATGGCATGTCTGTTCTTGGTGTTGGATTTTATTCAATAAATTTCCCCCCCAAAATGCGATTTATACTCCAGTGTGATTTATAATCCGGAAAATACGGTACCGCTCAAAAAAGGAGCGGGAAGAAGAAAGCGTTTTGAATCCCACTCGGATGTAGCGTGTGACGCCATGGCGAAGAGGTCCTCTGCTCTCACTTATGCTAGCGTTTGAATTTCTTTCTCCGCCCGCAGGTATCCAAGGCCTCCGCGGACCTTATGACTTACTGCAATGATCACTCCAAGACCGATCCTCTCCTCATGGGCATCCCCGCCTCAGACAATCCCTTTAAGGACAAAAAGCCCTGCACTATATTGTAGGGGTTGATACCACTCGTGCCTTGATGGGAGTCGTTTTTGGCTTATTAAATGTCGCTGTGTTCTGTTTGTCGGGAGGAGCGAGGGGTGGATCGTGATCGTATTATTACCACGGGCTCATCTCTTTTTGTGTTAACAAATTACTGACGCAACCCTGCTTTTGTGTTCTGGCTTGTTTCGTTTAGTTTTTTTTTCTTTTGGACAGAACAAAGAAAGTGTTTCTGCGGCTCCAACACTCAAGTCTTTAATCGCTGTGCCACTCTTCGGTCTGTTCTGATGACCACTAGCAAGCCTTTGGCTGCAACGAATTAACATGGCAACAGGCACGTCCTAGAGTCACCGGCGGTCCTCGGCTTTGTGATTTCTCGTAACGGGCAGCGACTGTTAGCATCTCTCTGCGGGTTCATGTGGGCCTTTTTATTTTATTTTTTGTTCAATTTCACTTTCAAAATTTCCACCGGCAACCTTTAATGTTTAATGTTCAGATGGCTGAAGATTCAGGGTTTTTTTTCAAGGTGAGCTTGTTACCGTGGCGTCCGTGACAATCCACATTCCATGTAATCCATCTCGAGGTGATTATCACCTTGAAATGTCAGGTTCAGACACTTTTTTGGAGGTTATTTCATAATCTCGCTCGCGAGGCTCTCCAAATAAGAGGCACGGTGTGCTTGCTTCAGGTTGTAAAATTGGCCCATAAAACAAAAGAGAATTTAAAACATGATATATTTAGGCACCAAAATGTTTGACCAACCAGATCATTTCTTGATAACAAACGTCGTCATTTCAGTTACGTCCAATGCAAAATTAGCATAAATATTACAGCAATTATAGACCGTCAAACAACTGCCGCGTAAACACAAGCATCATTCAAAATACACTACTCAAAGGCTTGTTGTGGCACACTGTGGTACTGCCCTAACGGCGCAAAAACTACCGGTACTCAATTTGGATTTGTCTGTGTGCTGTTAAACAAATCGACAAAAATCGTCCGATATTTGGCAGATTTTTTTTTTCCTCTACCAAAGGACAAAGGATTGTAAAACACTCAAATGTTCTGCCTATAATTCATAGATTGTGAGGGACCACAAAACAGAAATGTCTGTCTTCATTATAAATATTAATCGGCTGATTAATCGATTATCGGATTTTTATTCTGCCAAATATCGGAATCGGCATCAGCCTCCCAAAAAATGTGTCGGGCCCAAGTAAAAAGACATGAAAAAAACTATCGCTTACAAACCCTTGACATAGTGGGGGGGTTCACTGTGCAATCAATAGTTGTCCGTATGTAACATTGAGAACAGAAATGTCTTTGGATGATTTCAGCGAGGAGACGCCTTCGTCAGCTGACATCCTTCGAATAGGGTTGAATTGTGACATTAAACTACTCGGACCAAAGCTGTAAAAGCAGCCTTTAAAGACCACCGCCAGATTCCAACACTGGTGCAGTTCAGCTCGTTCGCTCAGCTCGCTACGGTTTGAAATTGTAAAATCTTGATCCGGTTTGACTTTCCTGGGTTGTCGTTTCCAATGTTCGGTGCTATGGTGACAGCTGTATCCCACAAATAAAGCCCAAGACATGACATCATAACCTGTCTATGAATTTGAAAAAGCCAAACATCGTAATTCACGATCGAAATGTGTTCCTGCGGATAATTCTTTCCACTGCGTTGCCTTCATTTAGCCGTTTTCCCCTCCCGAAAATTGCTACACTGAAGTATATTTTTGAAATTAATTTATTTCAGGAAATTGTCACTTGAACCATTTTATATATATATTTTGTTTATTACCTACAGTGGTGCCTTGCGATCCAAACAAGTGCCTTGACTTATCACTTTTTACCCGTAACAGCATTCACTTGTTTTTTTTGTTTTTTTTTGTCTTGAGGCAAGAGCAAAAATTTGAGATCCAAGCGCGCTTCAGCCCCTTGTGTTTTGTGCTCACGTTTTCCGTTTTTGCTAGTTAGGTGGAGAGCTATTTTTTTTTTCTGCAGTTCAATATGGCGGAGTGCAGTTTTTCATGGGGAAAAGAAAAAAAAAAAAACAAGCGCAGTCACGGAACGAATTCACCTCGAATCTCAAGGCACCACTGTAATTGGGTGATTATTCGAGGCGCAACGATTCATCAATAAAACAGCAACCAATTCATCCTTAAATTGATCATTCATTTTGATCATCGATGAATAGGTTCCATTCCTTTCTTCATTCAAAATTGGCCAAATTTTCAGAGTTCCTGCTTCTCCATAGTAAATCTCCTCCATTTCTGTCGTCCTCCATGAGAGTGGCCCGATTATCAAATCCAAATAAAACAACCATCAACATTTTTTGCGTCTTTCCAACCTGTTACGGACCAAACCAGTGCCTGGCGTAAATTATGTTGATTTAAAATATATTCACCTTTTTGGATAAAGCGATGGAAAATATGGATTAAAAAAAATGTTATCCGATGAATCTTTTATTGAAATAATCGTTAGTTGCACCCCTAAAAAATCGTAATTGAAAAAGTTTTTAAAAATGCCACGATTGTATTACTAAAACAAACAATTTTACATGTTTTACATTCACAATCTTAGTTTTTTTCCTTTATTTTTTGAGACCTAATCTACAAAAAAAACTGGCCCTGAGCAAAAAAGGTTTGTCATAAACTTTGGTACCCAAGTGGTAAGGTACCAAAAATGGCAAAACTGTCTGCTGGACTGCACTAATGGTGGAAACATGCTCATCGATCCAGAATCTGGTGGTCCATTGAACCAAAAAAAAAAAAAAGTTGGACAAAACGTGTGTCACACTTAATCGCCTTACTTATGCTTGCCTTGTATTCCGAAGAACACTTACTGGGAGAACTGTGGTTGAATTTGCAGGATGGGAATCATTTTTGATAATAGCGTGAAAGTGAACGGTGCCATCTTTGTGTCTGCGCGTGGTGCAAAGCCTCTCATATCTCGTTGGATTCGCCTGGTGCTTCTCTTTTCCGCAGTTATTGTTATCTAACTGATTGTTTGGGGTTTTCTTTTTTTTTTTTTGGTCTCTTAACAGTTGCTTCCCCTTGTTTGCAATAATTCCCATCAACCTCTTAAGAAATGTTTAGCTTGCCACTGCCATGTCATTTCTGTCAGTGAAGCAACTTTACTGTACAACTGTTCCATTTGATAGCGTGTCAAAATCTGTATTTTGAGGAACGTCTTTATTATTCATAAAGCAACGTTTGTATGAAGATGAACGAAGTGAAGCAAAGCGTTCCTATTCCTGTTCCAATATCTCAATAAAAAAAAAAACGTGTTGTGTCAAGAGGATCACTGCTTGAAATGGAGTCTGTTTGTGCTTGTGTGATTTTGTTCACTAATTTCAAATGCGGGTAAGGGGAACAGTGGTGCAAAAGTCTACACACCCATGTTCATATACCAAGTTTTTTTTTGTCATGTAAAAAAAAAAAAGATTAATCCATTTTCAAAACAGTTCTTATTTTAAACAAAATCCCCCTGTCACGTGTTAGTTTCAGTGGTCTGATGAGACAAAGGTTGAACATTTTTGTCCTCAACTCCACAGTGAAGTATGGTGGGATCAATATCCTGCTTTGGGGCACTTTTTTTCAGCTGGAACAGGGAGGGAAAGTCTGAACAGTTCCAAAAATGTTCTACTCAAATAACTGTCAAACCTTTCAAGCTTCTGCTACAAAAGAACAAATGTCAGGAAAAGCCTACTAGAGCATCTGAGGTTTTTATATGGGTTTATCCCAACATGAAAAATGTGAAATACATATATCATCAGGGAGACCGGAAGAGTCACAGAAAGGCATCTAATTGGACATCCTTGGAAAGTTTGCCACTCTGCTCTTTGTTGGAGAGCAGCGAGTCGAACAAAAAAAAAACAACAAATTTTCAGAAGTGTTTGCAAATAGTGTATGTACTGTATATAAAACTGTATCTAACTGGGGGCTGGAAAAACCTTGAGCCTCCCTCACCGGGCCGTTAAAAACCACACTGAATACATTTAAATGTAGAAACCCCGCTTTTAGCTCTCACAGAGTCGTGTTACTATTCCGGGAAAAGGCCTGCTTTGTTTTCATTCTCTGTTGGTGGCCTCTTGGGTGTTTCTGACACTTTGTTCTGTCCGGACCTGATTTTCTTCTCTTCATTTCCACGTAATGGGAAGACGGCAGGAATAGACACCGACTGTTACCTGAAATAGCATCACATTTATGACATCAGAAATATCAGGTGGCCCAGTTGGACTTCATATTATGCATGGATTTCTAAATCTACAAATGCATCTGCACATTTCGAAGAACATTTTTTCAAAGTTCGTTCTTAACAAGCACCTTGATTGAAGAGAAGATACATTGTAAAACCGCAGGTTGGAATCATTAATAAACATTAGAATTAAGTAATATACGACTACTAGTACACTGTTAAAAAAAAACTTTTTGGGGGGCCTGAAACTGTAATCAAGACGAGAAAAAAAACTTGAAAATATAAATGGTTGAGATTTATGGCAACACTTACTGTCGCAAAACAAGAAAGTTTTTTTTGGCTTTACATTAATTTGGGTTCAATAAAAGGCACAACCGTTCTTAATAAAAACTTCATTTCGTTGAATTGCCCAACTTAAAATGTGAGCGAAGTTTGTTGCCTTGAAATTTTGAGTTCATCACAATTTTTTTGCAGTGTGCTACGAGCTAATAATAAGTCTTTTTTTTTCTTTTTTTTTTTTTTTATACAATAACCTTTGGGAGAATAAATGGTCTTTTTTTTTATTTTGTACTACTAACTAATAATGTTATACAATAACCCAAGTGATAATATGTGGTACCGAAAATGGGTGCAGAATTAATAATAATAATAATAATAATAATAATATTGCTTGAGAATTCCTGAGGCATTTCGGGGTAGGCCTACCCAGGCTTATTTTTAACTGAGGGGAACCCCCGCCCCCCCACTTTGATCAATCCAAATTGAGCATGATGATATTTGATAAATGTGCAAAAACTTTGGCACCAGTTCTCGCCTTCGAGATGCCGATTGCCCAGCCGTCCCTAATCAAGTGTCCGCCGAACGCCTTTGCACGGCTTGCAACATGCAAGAGCACGCATGCGCACTAATGTGCCACAGTGTGACAATCCAGCGTGGCAGTTACAGTGTCACTGTGTCGGAATGTGCTGATGATGGGGTGGGGGTTGGGGGTGGGTGGGAGCAGCGCGGCGGATTGATGTGGGTGG